CCCCAAAACCCCAAAACCCCAAAACCCCAATATCCACTTTAAACATTGAAATTTACTGGCTAATTTCTTCTTGAGAATTCTATGGCAGAGATCTTCTGACTAGTCGAGATTGGAATCCAGAGATTCTCCTAGTTTGTCATCACTGATCCTTTCGTGCTTCATATCTATAATATGAGAAAAACAATACCTTCGTGCTTTTTCTGAATTTTCTCAGATATTTCTTTAGCGAGGTATTCAAGATCAGCTGAGTAGACTAAGTAAATGTACCAGATTCCTATTATGGTGGAAGCAACGGTGACTCCTCCCCAGAGACCTCTGAGGTTGTAGTTCAACTCAAATGTAAAGTAGTATGATAAAGGAAGAGACACTCATACATATCAGATAAGGCAGATATAGGCTACTTTGCTTTGATATCCCATTCCTTTAATGGCTCCTTGTAAAATTCCTTGGATGTAATCTCCAAAGTTTAGAAGGATCATCACTGGGAAAGCATATCCTACCAGAGAGACGACGTTCTCATCATCTGTGAAGATGTAACCTACCTTGTATCTGAAGATGTACATTGGAATTCCAATGATGAACGGGAAGATCAATGAAAATAGAAACGATATGTTCAAATACATTTTTGCAGTTTCAGGAATATTTGCTCCTAAATTATTTCCAATGAAAGTGTTGGAAGCCAGTCCGAATCCTATTGCAATAGAGTTTATGAGTGAGCCCATATTGAAGAGAATCGAGCAAGCTGCTAGTTCATATTCTCCAACAAGGCCAGACATTATCATAATAAACTCAAAAGCCCAGTACTCAAGACACACCATGATCATGGATGGGATACCATATCTGAGGTACTCCATAATACCTTTGAAGGAGTCTTTGCTGATGAAATGCCAGCTATCTTCTTTGACAGCTGACTTTCTTAATGTTATATACACAGTAGGAAGAGCAAAATTCATTGCATAGGTAACAAGGGTTGCGCAAGCAACCCCTTTGAAGGACAAATCTCAGACGTAGATGAAGAAATACAGCCATAAAGGATGAAGCAATAGATTCACCATTTGTGTGTTTGCCATTATGTGGAAAGCTCCCTGGGTTCGGAGATATCTTCGCAAAAGCTCTGTTTGAGCATATCACCAAACTCCAGGGAGAGTGATGCTGATGTATGTTCCTGCATGCTCAGATGATTTCTCAGGCTGACCAAGAGCAATCAAAATAGGAGTGATGAAATACATAACAATTGCTTGAGGGATGAAAAGCAATGTGAGGATTACTTGGGCTCTGGTGTAATAACAATTAGCTAAATAGTTCTTCTTATGTCCAAAGGCTTGTGAAGATAGTGTCTCGACTCCTCCAGCCATGCCTACTCCTAGAGAAATTGTAGTGATCCCTATAGTAGTAAATGCTATTCCATATCCTGAGATAAATGTTGAGTCTCCGAGACTGCCAATGAACAGGAGATTCACGATCTCAAGCCCTCTTCGCATCATCAATCCAAAAATCGAAAATACTGCAAGCTTAAACATATTAAAGCTAGCTGTAATATATGAAGGTTTGGATTCAGTAAACCAAATCTTTGACAGATAACTTTCTTCCATCTCTGAGCTATTCCCGAAATGCTCTATATCTCTATTATCCGGCTACAAATCCCTTCACAACCCCTAGGAGCTTGCTTACCTGAGAAGATAGGGTCTTTGACTTGCCGATCGGACATCTCAAGTAAGGAATGTGACATTTTTCCTAAAATTTAACTCCCAATTATTAAATTATATTCCGGGGTTTTGGGGTTTTGGGGTTTTGGGG